TACAATCTCTTTTGTCCCCCTTCCCTTTATATAGAGGGACTATACATGCTCTCCGCCAATCCCTAGGTACCTTCCCCTCTTTCATACATTTATTAAAGAAAAATACCAACCACTAAAACACTATATCCCCCTCGGCTTTTAACATTTCTGTCATGATCCCGTCAGTTCCAGCTGCTTTACGCCCTGTCATTCTACGTAATGCCTCACACACCTTCCCCACATTCACATCCTGCTCTTCTTCACTCCTAAAAGATGGTATACCTCCCTGGCCAGTGCATGAAATTACTGCTTTCCTTTCTTCGCCGACATTTAAAAGTTCCTCAAAATATTCCCGCCACCTACCCAAAATACTTCCAGCTCCCATCTACTAACTCCCCTACTCTGTTTTTAACTGACATATCCATTCATTCCCTAGGTTTTCTTAACTTGTTTATTTTTTTTTTTTTTTTTTATTATCACACTGGCCGATTCCCACCAGGCAGGGTGGCCCGAAAAAGAAAAACTTTCACCATCATTCACTCCATCACTGTCTTGCCAGAAGGGTGCTTTACACTACAGTTTTTAAACTGCAACATTAACACCCCTCCTTCAGAGTGCAGGCACTGTACTTCCCATCTCCAGGACTCAAGTCCGGCCTGCCGGTTTCCCTGAATCCCTTCATAAATGTTACTTTGCTCACACTCCAACAGCACGTCAAGTATTAAAAACCATTTGTCTCCATTCACTCCTATCAAACACGCTCACGCATGCCTGCTGGAAGTCCAAGCCCCTCGCACACATAAACCTCCTTTACCCCCTCCCTCCAACCCTTCCTAGGCCGACCCCTACCCCGCCTTCCTTCCACTACAGACTGATACACTCTTGAAGTCATTCTGTTTCGCTCCATTCTCTCTACATGTCCGAACCACCTCAACAACCCTTCCTCAGCCCTCTGGACAACAGTTTTGGTAATCCTGCACCTCCTCCTAACTTCCAAACTACGAATTCTCTGCATTATATTCACACCACACATTGCCCTCAGACATGACATCTCCACTGCCTCCAGCCTTCTCCTCGCTGCAACATTCATCACCCACGCTTCACACCCATATAAGAGCGTTGGTAAAACTATACTCTCATACATTCCCCTCTTTGCCTCCAAGGACAAAGTTCTTTGTCTCCACAGACTCCTAAGTGCACCACTCACTCTTTTTTCCCTCATCAATTCTATGATTCACCTCATCTTTCATAGACCCATCCGCTGACACGTCCACTCCCAAATATCTGAATACGTTCACCTCCTCCATACTCTCTCCCTCCAATCTGATATTCAATCTTTCATCACCTAATCTTTTTGTTATCCTCATAACCTTACTCTTTCCTGTATTCACCTTTAATTTTCTTCTTTTGCACACCCTACCAAATTCATCCACCAATCTCTGCAACTCTCTCTTCAGAATCTCCCAAGAGCACAGTGTCATCAGCAAAGAGCAGCTGTGACAACTCCCACTTTGTGTGTGATTCTTTATCTTTTAACTCACGCCTCTTGACAAGACCCTCGCATTACTTCTCTTACAACCCCATCTATAAATATATTAAACAACCACGGTGACATCACACATCCTTGTCTAAGGCCTACTTTTACTGGGAAAAAATTTCCCTCTTTCCTACATACTCTAACTTGAGCCTCACTATTCTCGTAAAAACTCTTCACTGCTTTCAGTAACCTACCTCCTACACCATACACTTGCAACATCTGCCACATTGCCCCCCTATCCACCCGTCATACGCCTTTTCCAAATCCATAAATGCCACAAAGACCTCTTAGCCTTATCTAAATACTGTTCACTTATATGTTTCACTGTAAACACCTGGTCCACACACCCCCTACCTTTCCTAAAGCCTCCTTGTTCATCTGCTATCCTATTCTCCGTCTTACTCTTAATTCTTTCAATTATAACTCTACCATACACTTTACCGGGTACACTCAAGAGACTTATCCCCCTATAATTTTTGCACTCTCTTTTATCCCCTTTGCCTTTATACAAAGGAATTTATGCATGCTCTCTCCCAAAATCCCTGGGTACCTTACCCCTTCCATACATTTATTAAATAATTGCACCAACCACTCCAAAACTATATCCCCACCTTCTTTTAAAAATTTCTATCTTTACCCCATCAATCCCGGCTGCCTTACCCCCTTTCATTTTACCTACTCCCTCACGAACTTCCCCCACACTCACAACTGGTTTTCCTCACTCCTACAAGATGTTATTCCTCCTTCCCCTATACACGAAATCACAGCTTCCCTATCTTCATCAACATTTAACAATTCCTCAATAATATTCCTTCCATCTTCCCAATACCTCTAACTCTCCATTTAATAACTCTCCTCTCCTATTTTTAACTGACAAATCCTTTTGTTCTCTAGGCTTTCTTAACTTTTTTAATCTCACTCCAAAACTTTTTCTTATTTTCAACAAAATTTGTTGATAACATCTCACCCACTCTCTCATTTGCTCTCTTTTTACATTGCTTCACCACTCTCTTAACTTCTCTCTTTTTCTCCATATACTCTTCCTTTTGCATCACTTCTACTTTGTAAAAAACTTCTCATATGCTAACTTTTCTCCCTTACTACTCTCTTACATCATTATTCCACCAATCGCTCCTCTTCCCTCCTGCACCCACTTTCCTGTAACCACAAACTTCTGCTGAACACTCTAACACTACATTTTAAACCTACCCCTACCTCTTCGCCCCCATTGCCTATGCTCTCATTAGCCCATCTATCCTCCAATAGCTGTTTATATCTTACCCTAACTGCCTCCCCCTTTTAGTTTATAAACCTTCACCTCTCTTTTCCCTGATGCTTCTATTCTCCTTGTTCCCATCTACCTTTTTACTCTCAGGGGTAGCTAAAACTAGAAAGTGATCTGATATATCTGGGGCCCCCTCTATAAACATGTACTTTCCTGAAGCCCTACTAAACAGTCTTTTATCTACCAATACATAATCCAACAAACTACTGTCATTTCGCCCTACATCATATCGTGTATACTTATTTATCCTCTTTTTCTTAAAATATGTATTACCTATAACTAAACCCCTTTCTATACAAAGTTCAATCAAAGGGCTCCCATTATCATTTACACCTGGCACCCCAAACTTACCTACCACACCCTCTCTAAAAGTTTCTCCTACTTTAGCATTCAAGTCCCCTACCACAATTACTCTCTCACTTGGTTCAAAGGCTCCTATACATTCACTTAACATCTCCCAAAATCTCTCTCTCTCCTCTGCATTCCTCTCTTCTCCAGGTGCATACACTTGTTTATCTCACTCCAATATTTTTCTTATTTTCTGCAAAATTTCTTGACAGTGCCTTTCCATTTTATTATCTGCTCTCCTTTTGCACTCACCACTCTCTTCACCTTTCTTTTACTATCCATATACTCTGCTCTTCTTATAACTTTTCTGGTTTATAAAAACCTCTCGTAAGCTATCTTTTTCTCTTTTATCACACCCTTTACTTCACGATTCCACCAACCACTACTCTTTCCTCCTGCACCGACCCTCCTATCACCACAAACTTCTCCCCTACATTCTAATATTGCATTTTTAAAACTATTCCAACCCTCTTGAGCCTCCCACTACTCCAATAATTATACTTATGTGTACCTGTACCTAAATATACTTATACACTGTAGTGGCGTGCAGGTACACATTAAAAATCACTTAGAGTCTCTCTACTCTTGATGCCATATAATAATCTCTTGGGTGTATTAAATGTTGTATATTACATTAATATAGACATTTCCATTAATCCATCTATGATATTCTTTTCAAAATTCTGTAATAAACATGCTACATAACATATAAACATGATATATATATCCACAGTATAAAAATTTATTTAAATATGAGATTTGTTTACAAGCAGTTTGTAGGAGTGTTGGAAGAATTATGTTTTCTCTAGTCAAACACCAGTTACTTAACTGTAGAAAAATATTCCTTTCGTATGCCTTCACTCTATCTATAGCTATTCACAATCCTTGTGGGTTTAGCACTTCTCTATTATGATTTTAATAATAATAATAATAACAATATCATTCACTCCAAAAATGGTGTGTTGCATGAGAATGGCAGTGTTACTGTTTATTTATTTTGTACTAACTTGTCAGAGCATCATTCCTTCTAAAAATGATGTTACATGAGAATGGAAGTGTTGGTCTTTATATATTCTACTGTACCACTGTGGAGACAACTTGTACACCATGTAAGGTGTTTGTATGAACATGTATGAACCATAACCAGACGCTTCGTCCGTTTGTTTACATAGTACTCTGTGTGGGTGGGGTGGCCAGGTGGGCTACCCTACCTCCCACACCTGACTTTCTACAAATAAATACTTTTCACCTCTCACCCTACATTAAGAAAATTAAGACTACAAATATTTTAAGGTAAGTAATGAGTACTGCATATTCATTTTATCACTCTAGGGTGCTTTAAGCGTCATAGTATAATAACCCTTAAACTGTCCAAACATAAATCTACGTTCGCACGCGTAGCGCTTCGAACGTAGATCTACATTCAATTTTACATTGTTTCTTTTGAAAAAAAAAAAAAACCTAGATCTGCGTTTGAAGCGCTACGCATGCAAACGTAGATCAACGTTTGGACAGTTTAAGGATTAAGTGTGGGTGGGGTGGCCAGGAGAGCTACCATACCTACCCACACCTACTTCTTACAATAAATACTACTCACCTTTTGCCCTACATTAAGACTACAAATATTTTGAGAAAAATAATGAGTGTACTGTATGTGTATTTTACTTTTTATTGTTTTTTAATGCCTAGTTCTATTGCTAACTTAATATATGTTAGTGTAAACTTGTTGTCTGGCATTTATACATATTTATGAGTGGAAAAAATGGTGTTCTGCTTTCCGACAATGTCTGCTTTGCGGCGGTAGCCTGGAACCTCACCTGCTGTATAAGTGCGTTCCTACTGTATACATACCTGAGAGATGCTGAAGGTGATACTGGTATCTAGGGCATGGAGAGCAGTGCTGGGGTTCACATAGTTGAGCACTAACTCCATGGCCTTTCCACCCTCCTGCCACTGTATACCCATAGTGCATTTCATCAGTGCCCATGTAATGTGACTCTGCACTGCCACTTCTGACCACTGTAACACAATTTATTGCAGCAATGAATTCTACACTTATTTTGCAAAGTTATCAATGCTTTATAGATCAACTTAACAGGCTTTGCCTAATAAGCACAATATTTTTTTTTTATCACAATGGCCATCTCCCACCGAGGCAGGGTGACCCAAAAAAAGAAGAAACATAAACGCAATATACTACAGCCTCTCCTCACTTAGTGACGTACTCGTTTACCGATGGCTTGGACTTACGACGGGTTCTTTAACCAGTATGCCTACCTAAATAGTGTATATTAGAACTGATTTCCTTTATTCTGTTTATTACAATATACAGTACACTACTGTATAAACATTTAAAAATATGCCAGAAATGTTATAAATGGTGCAAAGGTGACATAAAAATAACAACCTGTCGGTATTTTATACCATTTTAATGTTCAATATCAAAGATGATTAACACAAACCCACTATGATTATAGTATGCTCCTCACTTAGCGATGAATTCGTTTACCAACGTGGTCTTAGGAACTGAACTCTGTCATTAAGTGAGGAGAGGCTGTATATGTAATACTTGAAAATAAGAAAAATTATAGGTTTAGAGATGCTTTTGTATAAGCGTCCACGGTTGAGTTTTTAATAGCTGACCTTAAGGAAAAAGCTCCCACCAGGAAGTTCTTGGAGGTAAGTGATGAGAGCTAAGGTGATAGAGGAAGCTGCTGGAGTTCGTAATACCAGTGCCCGCACCTGCCCTGCCTCTTCCATTCCCACACTTCCCTTTCCACCTATGGAGCTCTGTGTCAGGTACAAACAGAATGGTGTTAAGTAATTAAGTTTATTCAGGTATACACAAATACAGTTACATAGATTATCATACATAGAAGCATATGTGTAGAGAACCTAGGATAGCCCAAAAAATTCAAAGTGACTTATTTCTATTGGGGTCCTTGTGATAATTTTTATTTATTATTTTTTTTTTATTATCACACTGGCCGATTCCCACCAAGGCAGGGTGGCCCGAAAAAGAAAAACTTTCACCATCATTCACTCCATCACTGTCTTGCCAGAAGGATGCTTTACACTACAGTTTTTAAACTGCAACATTAACACCCCTCCTTCAGAGTGCAGGCACTGTACTTCCCATCTCCAGGACTCAAGTCCGGCCTGCCGGTTTCCCTGAACCCCTTCATAAATGTTACTTTGCTCACACTCCAACAGCACGTCAAGTATTAAAAACCATTCGTCTCCATTCACTCCTATCAAACACGCTCACGCACGCCTGCTGGAAGTCCAAGCCCCTCGCACACAAAACCTTCTTTACCCCCTCCCTCCAACCTTTCCTAGGCCGACCCCTACCCCGCCTTCCTTCCACTATAGACTGATACACTCTTGAAGTCATTCTGTTTCGCTCCATTCTCTCTACATGTCCGAACCACCTCAACAACCCTTCCTCAGCCCTCTGGACAAAAGTTTTGGTAATCCCGCACCTCCTCCTAACTTCCAAACTACGAATTCTCTGCATTATATTCACACCACACATTGCTATTAGACATGACATCTCCACTGCCTCCAGCCTTCTCCTCGCTGCAACATTCATCACCCATGCTTCACACCCATATAAGAGTGTTGGTAAAACTATACTCTCATACATTCCCCTCTTTGCCTCCAAGGACAAAGTTCTTTGTCTCCACAGACTCCTAAGTGCACCACTCACCATTTTCCCCCTCATCAATTCTATGATTCACCTCATCCTTCATAGACCCATCCGCTGATACGTCCACTCCCAAATATCTGAATGCATTCACCTCCTCCATACTCTCTCCCTCCAATCTGATATCCAATCTTTCATCACCTAATCTTTTTGTTATCCTCATAACCTTACTCTTTCCTGTATTCACTTTTAATTTTCTTCTTTTGCACACCCTACCAAATTCATCCACCAATCTCTGCAACTTCTCTTCAGAATCTCCCAAGAGCATAGTGTCATCAGCAAAGAGCAACTGTGACAACTCCCACTTTATGTGTGATTCTTTATCTTTTAACTCCACGCCTCTTGTCAAGACCCTCGCATTTGCTTCTCTTACAACCCCATCTATAAATATATTAAACAACCACGGTGACATCACACATCCTTGTCTAAGGCCTACTTTTACTGGGAAATAATTTCCCTCTTTCCTACATACTCTAACTTGAGCCTCACTATCCTCGTAAAAACTCTTCACTGCTTTCAGTAACCTACCTCCTACACCATACACCTGCAACATCTGCCACATTGCCCCCCTATCCACCCTGTCATACGCCATTTCCAAATCCATAAATGCCACAAAGACCTCTTTAGCCTTATCTAAATACTGTTCACTTACATGTTTCACTGTAAACACCTGGTCCACATACCCCCTACCTTTTCCTAAAGCCTCCTTGTTCATCTGCTATCCTATTCTCCGTCTTACTCTTAATTCTTTCAATAATAACTCTACCATACACTTTACCAGGTATACTCAACAGACTTATCCCCCTATAATTTTTGCACTCTCTTTTGTCCCCTTTGCCTTTATACAAAGGAACTATGCATGCTCTCTGCCAATCCCTAGGTACCTTACCCTCTTCCATACATTTATTAAATAATTGCACCAACCACTCCAAAACTATATCCCCACCTGCTTTTAACATTTCTATCTTTATCCCATCAATCCCGGCTGCCTTACCCTCTTTCATTTTACCTACTGCCTCACGAACTTCCCCCACACTCACAACTGGCTCTTCCTCACTCCTACAAGATGTTATTCCTCCTTGCCCTATACACAAAATCACAGCTTCCCTATCTTCATCAACATTTAACAATTCCTCAAAATATTCCCTCCATCTTCCCAATACCTCTAACTCTCCATTTAATAATTCTCCTCTCATATTTTTAACTGACAAATCCATTTGTTCTCTAGGCTTCCTTAACTTGTTAATCTCACTCCAAAACTTTTTCTTATTTTCAACAAAATTTGTTGATAACATCTCACCCACTCTCTCATTTGCTCTCTTTTTACATTGCTTCACCACTCTCTTAACCTCTCTCTTTTTCTCCATATACTCTTCCCTCCTTGCATCACTTCTACTTTGTAAAAACTTCTCATATGCTAACTTTTTCTCCCTTACTACTCTCTTTACATCATCATTCCACCAAGTATGATAAGTATTATATATTTAAAAGCTAAAAATAGGTAAGTATCTTGACTAAAAGATTTGGCTACCTCATATTAATAATAGAGTAAAATACTGAATATTTGAAATTTACTCTCTTTACCTGTCTAGACTTAAGTAATCTTCAAGTATTAGGTTAAGTCTGCCTAAAATGCCCAGGCATGAGAGTGGCTTTCTTTGTACTTATCAAATTATGAAATGTAATCATACATTATAACCTTTGCAAGAAATCAGCTTTTGTTGTTGCTGTCAAGCAAGCTGAACTTCAGCATGCACAACCAGCATACTTTCTAGGAGAATTTCCAAAACTGCAAATACTCTCAAGAATATGCAACTACATAGATATGCGAGACACTTGTGCAACATTTGGGTAACTTTATTCTGGAAATGTTTTGCCAGCCAGTAGCTTCATCAGTCCAATGCAGAGAAAGGTGAAAGATGAGGAAGAGTTTGAGATAATTAGTTTCCCAGCCTGGAGTTAATGTGTTCAGTCTATCAATCTTGATTGATGGACTTAAACACACAGACCCCTCAATGATGAACACGGAGGAACTGCTCTGTGATCCCTCAGATAATGATGAACATGGAAGAACTGCTCTGTGATCCCTCAGATAATGATGAACATGGAGGAACTGCTCTGTGATCCCTCAGATAATGATGAACATGGAAGAACTGCTCTGTGACCTCTCAGATAATGAACATGGAGGAACTGCTCTGTGATCCCTCAGATAATGATGAACATGGAGGAACTGCTCTGTGATCCCTCAGATAATGATGAACATGGAGGAACTGCTCTGTGATCCCTCAGATAATGATGAACATGGAGGAACTGCTCTGTGATTCCTCAGATAATGATGAACATGGAAGAACTGCTCTGTGATCCCTCAGATAATGATGAACATGGAGGAACTGCTCTGTGATCCCTCAGATAATGATGAACATGGAAGAACTGCTCTGTGACCTCTCAGATAATGATGAACATGGAGGAACTGTTCTGTGATCCCTCAGAAAATGATGAACATGGAAGAACTGCTCTGTGATCCCTCACACAATGATGAACATGGAGGGACTGTTTTGTTATCCTTCAGATAATGATGAACATGGAGGAACTGCTCTGTGATCCCTCACATAATGATGAACATGAAGGAACTGCTCTGTGATCCCTCAGATAATGATGAACATGGAGGAACTGCTCTGTGATCCCTCAGAAAATGATGAACATGGAAGAACTGCTCTGTGATCCACAGATAATGATGAACGTGAAAGAACTGCTCTGTGACCTCTCAGATAATGAACATGGAAGAACTGCTCTGTGATCCCTCAGATAATGATGAACATGGAAGAACTGCTCTGTGATCCCTCAGATAATGAACATGGAGGAACTGCTCTGTGATCCCTCAGATAATGATGAACATGGAAGAACTGCTCAGTGACCTCTCAGATAATGATGAACATGGAGGAACTGTTCTGTGATCCCTCAGAAAATGATGAACATGGAAGAACTGCTCTGTGATCCCTCACACAATGATGAACATGGAGGGACTGTTTTGTTATCCTTCAGATAATGATGAACATGGAGGAACTGCTCTGTGATCCCTCACATAATGATGAACATGAAGGAACTGCTCTGTGATCCCTCAGATAATGATGAACATGGAGGAACTGCTCTGTGATCCCTCAGATAATGATGAACGTGAAAGAACTGCTCTGTGACCTCTCAGATAATGATGAACATGGAGGAACTGTTCTGTGATCCCTCAGAAAATGATGAACATGGAAGAACTGCTCTGTGATCCCTCACATAATGATGAACATGGAGGAACTGCTCTGTGATCCCTCAGATAATGATGAACGTGAAAGAACTGCTCTGTGACCTCTCAGATAATGATGAACATGGAGGAACTGTTCTGTGATCCCTCAGAAAATGATGAACATGGAAGAACTGCTCTGTGATCCCTCACATAATGATGAACATGGAGGAACCACTCTGTGATCCCTCAGATAATGATGAAGATGGAAGAACTGCTCTGTGACCTCTCATTTAATGATGAACATGGAGGAACTGCTCTGTGATCCCTCAGATAATGATGAACATGGAAGAACTGCTCTGTGATCCACAGATAATGATGAACAGAGGAGAAAGTCCTGTGATCCTCAGATAATGATGAACATGGATTGACTGTCCTGTGATCCTCAGACAATGATGAACATGGAGGGACCGTCCTGTGACCCTCAGACAATGATGAATATAGAGGGACTGTCTTATGACCCTCAGACAATTATGAACATGGAGGGACTGTCCTGTGACCCTCAGACAATGACGAATGCATCTTTACTGATAAAAATTATAAATATAAAATCTGAAATGAAACTTCATTCAATCCACCTTTACATTGTTCATCGTCACCACTTTTGAGGTCCAAGAACTGACGCAACTTGGTCTGTTTTGATAACACAAAATTTTAATAAAATATGTAATTAATTTTCTTACTTGGAAGTTGTCTGGGAATGAGCCAAGGTGGTCAGTCTCAATGACAAGCTGCAGTCTGCCCCAGCTAGTGGTGGGGTCCACCACGGTCAGCAGATGGGAGCTCTTGAGGGAGTTGTTCCGAGCCATACCATAGGACACTATGCCCACTGCCTGCTGCTCTGACCACATTCGCCCATTAAAAGTGTACGCATCTACAGAACGTGTCAGCTTGCCAAGAATACGGCCCAACTCTGGCATGGTCTCTGTAATCACTTTGATCTGTGGTTGTAAGGTAAAGGGGCTTACCATTTCTACTTATGTCTTTAAACAATTACATAAAGAACTAAGTGTACAAAAGTGTTTTAATTATCATTCCTACTGTAGTAATGAACAAGAACGTTTAATTCACCAACCTCTACTACAGTAAGGAACAAAAACTTTTTATTTAACCATACTTAAGTATGTAACAAATATTTTATTAAGTCTACCATACTGTAGTAATTTTATAAGAACATCTTATTCAGCATATCCTACTGCAGAAAGGAATAATTTACATATCCTTTCATCACAGTTCAGATGACCCTGCAAACCATAATGTTCCCACACCTTCAGAGTGCAGGCACTATACCTCCCACAACCAAGACTCAAATCTGGCTAACAGGTTTCCCTGAATCCCTTCATAAATATTACCTTGCTCATACTCCAACAGTAAATCAAATCATGGAATCCACTTGCCTCCACTCACTCCTATCTAACACACTCACACAAGCCTATTACATGTCAAAGCCCCTAACACTCAGAACCTCCTTCATTCCCTCTCCAACCATTCTTACAATGACTCCCATTCTTCCTTCCCTCCACTCCAGATTTATCCACCCTCCAAATCATCCTATTTTTCTCCATCCTCTCTAAATTACTAATAGGACATCTAAGTATTCTTTACTTTAATCTATCACCTATTCCATACACTTACAATATCTGCCACAATGCTCCACTATCCACTCTATTTCTATATCCATAAATGCAACAAACAGCTCCTTTTCTTTATGCTTTAGTGCAAACACACTGCCCAAAATGCTCTGCATAACCAGGGGCTTTCTATAAAGTATGTCAATAATATCACCTTTCCTTTACCAATTGTAGAACATTCTATACAGAAATAAAGTCTATTTAATTTATTTTCCTAAATACTCCTTTTTCCTCTGCAATCCTATTTTCTATCTTTCCTTAACTTGATGATAATTTTACTGTGCACTTTATCTGATATGACTGACAGACTTATTCCCATATAATTCTTACATTCATTCTTATCCCCTTTTCCCATGTACAAAGGAACTAAGCAAGCTTTTTGCTAGCCCTTAGGTACCTTTCCCTTCTTCATGCACACAATGTATTAAAAATACACTAACCATTCCTGTTTTAATCAACTTAAGTTTTAGTTTCATTTAAACCAGCTGCTTTACCCCTTTCATACTACCCAATGCCTCCCTCTACCTTTGTACTCATTTCTGGCTCTTTCTTCCCTACCATATCTAATTGCTCCTTGCTCAATGCATAATATCACTGCCTTCCTTTCACCATCAACATTTAGTAACCCAAAATAGTCTTTCCATCTGTCGAATACTTCCAATTTCCATCTAATTTTTCACTTCTTTCCTTCTTAACTGCAAGATCTACTTGCTTTCCAGGCTTTCTCAACTTATTAATATATCATTAAAGCAGGTTCTTTTCCTCTGCAAAATTTGCTGGTGAAGGCTTACTTATTTTCTCATTTGCCCTTCCTGGCACTTCCTCACCAATTTGTATCAATAAAAACAATTCATATATGTTAAATACTCACATCAGTAGTGATTTCCTCACTAGGCATGTGTTCTTTATCTGGGAGAAGCTGGAGAGTCTTCTTAGCCTCAATATTGAGCTTGAGCTCACCTGTGGCTGGGGTGCTGGCCCTAAGCAATGTCTCAAGATAAAACAATAACCATTCCTCCTTATCATTTTCCTCCATTATATCCTCCATGTAGCTCTTGTCTTCATCCACCATACTGTGATGGATGTGTTATATCATTAGTAACATAATGAGTGGTTTTATTTTCTTAAATAACCTGTTCTTAGTAAAAAATTTTATATTTGAGAGCTTTATTAATTTACTCTTATAGTATACGTGAATATAAAGTTTAGTTTTAAAATAAGTGAGTAAAGGAAGACTGACCTTGGACCACTGGAATGAGATTGCTGAAGGTCAAGGTCCCACATCAGTAAGTACGTGGTGTTAGATCCAGATCCTGCTGACAGACTTATAGCTGCTATCACTGATTCCACCCCAGACACTGCTGAGCTGATATCCCCATCGGCCGTGTAATACACATCTGTTGGCGTTGTGAGTGTCGCCTCCAAGTTGTTTAAAAAGAAAGACATGCAAAGGATGTGATCAGACTGTTATGCTCATGAAGAAATTTGCAAGCACTCATTTAGAGAAATATCATAAAAATAAGGTTTTAATACACAGCAAAAGAGACAAAAATCATTTATTTTATAACATTTTAATATGCATGATAATTTCAATATTGATCTCAGTATTACATTTACTGTATTAATACCCATGTCAATGATAGTATATACCTTGGCAAAGTGTCGACTGTTGAAGAGGGTGTGTCCAGCTTGACCTTGTACCACTCCCGTCCAGAGCTGACTCATGCCTTCCTCTGTCACTCGTACCTCCTGCCTACCAAGGACCAGCCATGGGTTAGTACCCATTGGGCCAGGGATCAACCAGGGATGAGTGTGAATATAACTTAGGATTACTACATCCCTAAGTTCCCAAAACACAAAAGTCATAACTACACGTCACTACCACACTCAGAAATCACTTCAGTATACCCATAAATTACCCCATCCATCACTTATTCCTAATCACACCTCATGCCCACCAATCAGCCTATCCGTAAGTCACATAACACACTATTCAAATACTGCCCACCAAATCATAACATGCTAGTTACTACCAACCACCACACATCCCATCCATCAGTAATAAACATCATTAGGTACCACCTACTTACCAACCACCAACCATCCCAACCATTCAAATTCAAATTTTTATTTCTTCGCAAAGTTTACAATGTGTGATTTATATATTATATTGTTAACTACAAAGACAGCCACTAGCATGCCTGAACATTTTGGTCATAAACACACCATTAGGTATCATATACTTACCAACCATTCAGTTCATCAGTCATAAATACACCAATCACTACAACACTCAGAGTCACTATACAGTGGAACCCCAGTTATCAGCCGTAATCCGTTCCAGAAGGTCGGCCGATAACCGAAATGGCTGATAACCCAATTACTATTTCCCATAAGAATTAATGGAAATACAATTAATCCGTTCCAAATAAAAATATTCACAAAAAAATAATTTTTTTTTTTAACAATTATGTAAGTATTACAGTGGAACCTCATTTTTTTTTTTTTAATATCACACTGGCTGATTCCCACCAAGGCAGGGTGGCCCGAAAAAGAAAAACTTTCACCATCATTCACTCCATCACTGTCTTGCCAGAAGGGTGCTTTACACTACAGTTTTTAAACTGCAACATTAACACCCCTCCTTCAGAGTGCAGGCACTGTACTTCCCATCTCCAGGACTCAAGTCCGGCCTGCCGGTTTCCCTGAACCCCTTCATAAATGTTACTTTGCTCACACTCCAACAGCACGTCAAGTATTAAAAACCATTTGTCTCCATTCACTCCTATCAAACACACTCACGCATGCCTGCTGGAAGTCCAAGCCCCTCGCACACAAAACCTCCTTTACCCCCTCCCTCCAACCTTTCCTAGGCCGACCCCTACCCTGCCTTCCTTCCACTACAGACTGATACACTCTTGAAGTTGCTCTGTTTCGCTCCATTCTCTCTACATGTCCAAACCACCTCAACAACTCTTCCTCAGCCCTCTGGACAACAGTTTTGGTAATCCCGCACCTCCTCCTAACTTCCAAACTACGAATTCTCTGCATTATATTCACACCACACATTGCTATCAGACATGACATCTCCACTGCCTCCAGCCTTCTCCTCGCTGCAACATTCATCACCCATGCTTCACACCCATATAAGAGTGTTGGTAAAACTATACTCTCATACATTCCCCTCTTTGCCTCCAAGGACAAAGTTCTTTGTCTCCACAGACTCCTAAGTGCACCACTCACTGTTTTCCCCCTCATCAATTCTATGATTCACCTCATCCTTCATAGACCCATCCGCTGACACGTCCACTCCGATGACACATCACACATCCTTGTCTAAGGCCTACTTTTACTGGGAAATAATTTCCCTCTTTCCTACATACTCTAACTTGAGCCTCACTATCCTCATAAAAACTCTTCACTGCTTTCAGTAACCTACCTCCTACACCATACACCTGCAACATCTGCCACATTGCCCCCCTATCCACCCTGTCATACACCTTTTCCAAATCCATAAATGCCATAAAAACCTCTTTAGCCTTATCTAAATACTGTTCACTTATATGTTTCACTGTAAACACCTGGTCCACACACCCCCTACCTTTCCTAAAGTCTCCTTGTTCATCTGCTATCCTATTCTCCGTCTTACTCTTAATTCTTTCAATAATAATTCTACCATACACTTTACCAGGTATACTCAACAGACTTATCCCCCTATAATTTTTGCACTCTCTTTTATCCCCTTTGCCTTTATACAAAGGAACTATGCATGCTCTCTGCCAATCCCTAGGTACCTTACCCTCTTCCATACATTTATTAATTAATTGCACCAATCACTCCAAAACTATATCCCCACCTGCTTTTAACATTTCTATCTTTATCCCATCAATCCCGGCTGCCTTACCCTCTTTCATTTTACCTACTGCCTCACGAACTTCCCCCACACTCACAACTGGCTCTTCCTCACTCCTACAAGATGTTTTTCCTCCTTGCCCTATACACGAAATCACAGCTTCCCAATCTTCATCAACATTTAACAATTCCTCAAAATATTCCCTCCATCTTCCCAATACCTCTAACTCTCCATTTAATAACTCTCCTCTCCTATTTTTAACTGACAAATCCATTTGTTCTCTAGGCTTCCTTAACTTGTTAATCTCACTCCAAAACTTTTTCTTATTTCCAACAAAATTTGTTGATAACATCTCACCCACTCTCTCATTTGCTCTCTTTTTACATTGCTTCACCACTCTCTTAACCTCTCTCTTTTTCTCCATATACTCTTCCCTCCTTGCATCACTTCTACTTTGTAAAAACTTCTCATATGCTAACTTTTTCTCCCTTACTACTCTCTTTACATCATCATTCCACCAATCGCTCCTCTTCCCTCCCGCACCCACTTTCCTGTAACCACAAACTTCTGCTGAACACTCTAACACTACATTTTTAAACCTACCCCATACCTCTTCGACCCCATTGCCTTTGCTCTCATTAGCCAATCTATCCTCCAATAGCTGTTTATATCTTACCCTAACTGCCTCCTCTTTTAGTTTATAAACCTTCACCTCTCTCTTCCCTGATGCTTCTATTTTCCTTGTATCCCATCTACCTTTTACTCTCAGTGTAGCTACAACTGCAGTTAGAATGATAACAAATTCTCACTACAGGCAGCACACTCCACCAATATTCAAAACACTCAACCTACTCACCATACAAAACATCCATACTTATTACTGCACCTATTACATACATAGAACACTTAACTCTGATATTAACCCTCCCCTCAAACATCTCCTTGCCAACCTCAACAGAACACATGACCATAACACAAGGCACAGATCACTCTTTGATGTTCCTCGTGTCCATCTCACGCTATGCAAAAACTCAATGCACATAAAAGGCCCTAAAATCTGGAATCCATTACCTGTAAATATAAAAGAAACACTACCTGTTTATAAATTCAAGTCTCTTCTCAAAGATCACTTACTCACTCAAAACCAAATAAATACTGAATAACTGAACCTTATAAATTGTATATCCTATATGTTACTCACAATTATATCACACAAATGTTAAACCTAGGACCCAATCTAACTTTGTTATTTTTTTAAATACACTACCTAACAGAATACTCCATTCGACTGAATGTACAGCAATGCATGCAGCATATGACCTGTCTTTGTAATACTCATTTGTGCTTTATAGTTATCTGTTTACAATAATGTTTTATCACTGATTTCATCATTGCTTAGTTAATCTTAAGTTAATTTTAAGCCAGCCCGTAATGCTATGCATATAAGTGGCTTTGGCATGCTGCTCTTACCTGTATTTTTTTGTACCTTTGTATGTATGCTAAAATTACTAAATAAATAAATAAATAAATCTGATATATCTGTGGCCCCCCTATAAACATGTACATCCTGAAGTCTACTCAACAGTCTTTTATCTACCAATACATAATCCAACAATCTACTGTCATTTTGCCCTACATCATATCTTGTATACTTATTTATCCTCTTTTTCTTAAAATATGTATTACCTATAACTAAACCCCTTTCTATACAAAGTTCAATCAAAGGGCTCCCATTATCATTTACACCTGGCACCCCAAACTTACCTACCACACCCTCTCTAAAAGTTTCTCCTACTTTAGCATTCAAGTCCCCTACCACAATTATTCTCTCACTTGGTTCAAAGGCTCCTATACATTCACTTAACATCTCCCAAAATCTCTCTCTCTCCTCTACATTCCTCTCTTCTCCAGGTGCATATACGCTTATTATGACCCACTTTTCGCATCCAACCTTTACTTTAATCCACATAATTCTTGAATTTACATATTCACATTCTCTTTTCTCCTTCCATAACTGATCCTTCAATATTACTGCTACCCCTTCCTTTGCTCTAACTCTCTCAGATACTTCAGATTTAATCCCATTTATTTCCCCCCACCGAAACTCCCCTACCCCCTTCAGCTTTGTTTTGCTTAGGGCCAGGACATCCAACTTCTTTTCATTCATAACATCAGCAATCATCTGTTTCTTGTCATCCGCACTACATCCACACACATTCAAGCATCCCAGTTTTATAAAGTTTTTCTTCTTCTCTTTTTTAGTAAATGTCTACAGGAGAAGGGGTTACTAGCCCATTGCTCCCGGCATTTTAGTCGCCTCATACGACACGCATGGCTTACAGAGGAAAGATTTTTTTCCACTTCCCCATGGACAATAGAAGAAATAAAGAAGAACAAGAGCTATTTAGAAAAAGGAGAAAAACCTAGATATTTGAGAAAAACCTCAAATATCGAACTTAATCTGCTCCAGGAGTTAGTTTTAAATTCGAAAGGTCTGAAAAGCGAAGCAATATTTCCCATAAAAAATAATGGAAATACAATTAATCCGTTCCAGAAACCCAAAAATATTCCCCCAAAAATACATTTTATAGAGATTAATTATAGTTTTACACACAACAAATATAGTGTTTAATTATGTATTAATAGATTTAAATAAACATATAAAACATTTTAATTACTTTTATTGAAGATTGGTGATGGCATCTGGAAGATAGGGAGGAGAGAGAGAGAGAGTTGGGGTTTGTGTTTGGAAGGAGAATCCCCCTCCATGAGGACTTCAGGTATCAAAACTCTCTCTGGGGTTACTTCCCTTCTCTGTCTTTTAATGCCACTAGGACCAGCTTGAGAGTCACTGGACCCTTGTCTCACAAAATAACTGTCCACAGTCCTGTTTCTGGTGC